GCAAACGGTATATAGCATATTCAATGCTTCTCACAACTGCTGATGGATTATTATGATCCTGAAGGAAGAGGGATGATGAAAAGCAATGGATGAGACGGTGCAGTGAAGCAGCAAATTAAAACACACTGAGACCTGGACAGCCATTATATTCAGTGGCTGGAGGGAAACATCTGCTTCAGCGAATACAATGTCCAATCCACTGTGGCCACAGGCTTTGAGAAGTACTGTATGCACCAAAGTATCGAGTGAAATCCTAGTTGGTAACTCAGGTTTTTCTAACTTAGTATCAGTGCCTTACAGGCTCACAAGAAACTCTGTAATAACGTGATGGCAGGTCTGTACTGTTTTTTACGACACATGACTGCATGGTTTATTTTATTACTTTGTAGTTATGTTACAGAACGTCTTGTCTAAACTATGCGCTTTCTGCTTTGTATGCAGTGGCGACCACAAATGGTGTCGGTGGTGTTGACAACGGCATTGGAAAAGATTTGTTACCTTGGTTATATGTTGAGTTTAACTGTAAAAGGTTTTGCAAAACCCACATGCTTGCATATGAAAGTGTGGGAAATGGGAAAATGCAAATTTAAACTAACTTTCAATCTCTGCTAACACCTTAACTAAACTGTGGGAAGTGTCGAGCTTGAAGCAAAAGCACAACTTTAACATTGTGATGCCTTAAACAAAGCCGGTGCATTGAAAGACACAAGTTGCCTCCTACTTTAGATCAGATTACTTTAAAAGAAAGAGGCTAAACAAAGTTCATGCTCAGGGGATGACCCAAAAATCTAATGGTTCTAAAGGAACGTGTTAGTGCTGGTCAGTCACAAAAAGCTGTCCAAGTTTTTATCCATGTATGTATTTGCTTCTTCTTGGCATGTTGAATTCATTAAGCCAACTGGACATTCCATTTGTGTGCAGCTTAGTCAAAGGACATATATAACTATGAGTCTAACAGCACATGTATTCGTCCCATACAGCTGGCGACATGACTTGAATTGATTTTAATGCACAGTCACACTGTTTTTCATGCTGGACTGATGGGCAGTGGGGGGAAAGCCCTTTTAACACTAAAAAGGAAGGAGAGTATCTTTGCAACAGTCATTCTTCTGAATCAGTCACTCAGATTTGACCAACATTAAATAGCTAGCCAGTGTCTGGGATAACACAGATAACACATAGGAACCCTATTAGGGACACATTTTGGAAAATGTCACAAAACAGGACACAGATTATTTCCAAACTTTACAAAAAAAATAAGCTCAACTGTCTGAGTAATGACGGACGGATGGAAAAAAAAAAAAAAGATAGAATGGTAGAAGTTGCTTAAAAGAGAACAAGAAACTAAAGTAGTGACAAAGTGGTCCTTGAGTGCAGCAAATAAGAGCTTGGCACACTCATCACGACCTACTCGAGTAGCTTATCAGAATCAGCTGAACCAGCTGGATAGAAGGAACCAGACCTGGCAGCTGGACACACAAAGGCAGCTCTGCTTCCTGCATATACACTGCTGCTTTGGTTTCATATTCATTCATCCTTTTCCTGCTTCAACAGTCATCATTTCTTTACTTATCCTGAAAAAATATCCTTCAGGAAAGCAAAGAAGCTGATAGCTAACCCACAAGAGCAGAAAATCTGAGAACAGAGGTGGGGAGGGGCAGGCTCTGTGTATTTTAAGAAGTCCTGACTCACACCTGAGCTGTTGTCACCAGCAGCACGCTGCCAGAACCGAGGAAAAACAAACAAGCAGCCCACTGAAACTGGAGCAGTTTCATATCACCGGGCTCGTGGGGGAAACGCCCACCAACTGGCTCACATGAGCTTTGCAGGACTACTGACTAAACAACAGTCACAGAAGGAACAGCACAGTGTTTACAGTTCATAAATCCTCTTGATGACACCGGTGCTGCAGCAATATGGAGGCCCATCTATTAAGAACAGATACGAACAATGAGAAGGTGAATCCAGATTCCAGATCAAAGACTGGATCCACAGCAATAAACCACAAACACATGTCCTAATATAGTAGCATACATTATTAGGTGAAAGTGAGGACATCACATCATGGCGTTTCTGTAGTCTCAGACCTCCTTGAATACTCATTTCTTAGAAGTGTAGCTTGTGCACATCAACGCTACAGCACATAACCAGTGGGGTCACAACAACAACAATCGCGACAAGTTGTACAGAGAACGTTTAAGTGTCAGCATGGCAGAAAAACCATCTACAATGTCACTGCAACTTTCTGCTGTGATTGCAACCAACACAACATTGTCACCGATGTTGGTGTCGCTATGGTTTCTGTTTAAGTTATGCAAAAGTGTAAATTGCCAAGGAAGACATTACAAGGATGATCTGGCTGCATCTGCCCACTGGTGGATATACTTTGAATCCTCCTGTTACTCACAAAGCACAAAAGCAAGTAGGTGAACATTTATGCTGACATCCCAGCTGGTAGCTACACATGTGTTGGTAAAAAGCAAGTACATCAGTGACTGTAGAGTTTAATAACACAGTTATAGTGAGGGACACTTTAAAAAACAACCCACTGAGGGTTTTAGACATGTCTGTTTTACTTCAGTGTCCGCAAAAATACTTTAAAAAAGAATTTAGTTAGTAAATTTAGTCTAATTCTCAGCTGTCTAACAACTGCAGAAACAGCTGTGAAGTATCAGCAGGTTTTGAACTTTAAACTATGAATTGTGTCTTTAAGAATTACATGATTAACCCGGCACAGAGTAAAGCATTCGTGCTCTTGCTGTGATTATTAGCAGAAGGTGTAGCAGCAGGTTGAGCAGAGCATTAGCATGGTGGCAGCAGCTGCAGCTCTGATGCTCCATCTTCATCTGCACTGGATGCTTTCAGGCACAGTATTGAGCTGTAGGTCACCCACAGTTTGGAAGCCCATTACACAACTATGTGCACAAAATGCAGAACAATTGAACTGAAGCATAAAAATAAACTTCCGACGTCACCGTATAACCAGCTGAACAGATTAAAATAGGAGCTTTTCTGCTTTGTCAGACATATGTGAGATGGACCACGAACAATACGCTGTAATTCAGATGGGACGTCCATGATTTTGACTTAAAATAGTGACTAAACTGTTGACAGTCACTATATTTTATATGTCCTCATATCCAAAGACAGAAAGAAAAGGAAGCCCACAAACAGATAAGTTATGTGACCACAGGCAGGGATTTTGCTTTTGTTTTATTATTTGCACTGCGAATGAGAAAATCCCAGAGCATTGACGGGCGCACAAAGCTGGACTGGTTGCCTACATACCCAAAAACAAGTTAGACCACTCTGACCTTTGTCCTGCCATTTAAATGGCACCACTGACTGGTGGAGGAAGGAAGGAGTCCCATTGTGGACTGGGCTGCTTTTGGAGAAGATACAGAAATTGTATACGTTCGCCTTCAGATAACCTTTCACACACACACACAACACAGTGAGTCAGCAGCGACGTCTATGTATGACACAACACACGAAAAATCAGTACTGAAACTAAAGTTGACAGATTAACTGTTAGGCTGGTCGTTTCTGGTAACTGGAAAAAGTCTTTTTTTTTTTCTTTTTTTTTTTTAAAGCAAGCCTCATTTAGTGTACGTGAAGACAAGTGTTTTATTTTTTAGTTAGATCAGTGACAAGAAAACCTACAATATGAGGATATTTTATTATTACTGTGGAAAACTGAATGGAATATTTTATTACTGGATACTTTGACTAAATTAATTGTGGATTAGGAAGTCCATTTCAGGGGTCAACCCAGAGGATGTGGGTTTGTTTAAAAGTAGTTCTGTTTTATTGACTATTTTTAAATCAAATAATTGTGCTAAAGAGCAATATGTTCCATTTTAAAAGAAGGTCCAAAAATGTTTATCATAGTTCCTTGTATAATGGATATTTTACTGGTACATCCCTTAAAAATAAAAAATAAAGATAAGAATTGATGTTAAGTTGTTCCTTTAAAAGTGTAAAAGTGGGCAACAGCAGGGATAGTTAACATTAACTAGTTGAAAACATTTTTTTTAAATCACAACGCCAAATCACATACAAAAGCTGCTACAAATCTGTTCAAGTCAGTTATCTAGTAACAAAAGCAACTGTTCAGAGTAATAACTGTGCTAGATCCCAATTCTTGTCTATTTTTATTCTTGACATATTATTACTGGTATTCGGGTCACAACCCCACAACTGTGAAAGCAATCTGCATGTGTAACATGAACACAACTTATACTGTACTCCACTCCTTTGTATGCAGAAAGTGAGCTCTCCAGCCAGCAGCGGCACCACTGAGACCTGGTTTTTTTATTTCCCCACCCCTGCTTTTGTTCTGCACCAGACTGAGCTAATGATTCGTGGAACTAACACCCCCAATGACCACCAGTTAATCAGCTGCCTCATCTCACTGACGCCACTTCAAAGGAGCTTTTAGACTTGACTCTCCTTTTCAAAAAAACTTTTTATAAGCAGGTCAAGAGGTGAGATCACTGCAGCACGACGAGACTGACAGGAAGAGCAAACCCTGTGACAATCACAGTGTGACCCGGTGAATCACCGAACAACAGAAAACGTTTGATTTTTAAAGGCGTACACCTTTGTTGTTTTGTGCTGTCAGTCGTTTGACCTTTGTTCTTATTGCTCTTCCTCTCTTTGTCCCCACTGATGCTTTTCTATTGTGAAACACCAAAAAATGATAACAGACACCCTACACTGGAACAGGCCAAAGACAAACTACTAAGACTGTTTGCAGCCTGACAGTTGTCTAATAAGAGAAAATGGAAGCAGACAGCTCTGTTGCATAACATGTGCCCCAGACTATTGACTCTCATTATGCCGGTATGGTACTAAAGCATTCTCTTGGTAAACTTATTTGTGTTTTTATTTCAAACTCGTGAGGCAACGCCACCTGAATCGACCTTAAACCAACATTCGTGCCAACCTTCATATGCCCAAAACATTCAACAGCACAAAGATGTCAGCCGTTACTTTACCTGGAGATGTTCAGTGGAAGAGCTGCTCAGTTCGTCTCCAGACTCAGAGTCGTTGGTGCGCCTCTCCTCCCCGGCAGAGTCACAGTGTTGGGTGTTGTCCACGTCCAGCGGCGCCCTGACCATCTCCGGGGATCTGGCTCGGGTTCGGGGCAGAGTGCTGGACCCCCCTTTGGAAGAGGGCTGGGGGCCGCCACCGTGGAGAAGGATTTCAGCCAGAGCTCTGTCGTGGTCGGTGGGCGTGGTGGGGGCGTGGTGGTGGTTACTGTCCCTGCGCTGAATGGGGGGACTGAAGTTGCCCGAAGATGCAGTGTGTGCTGAAGGAGAGCGCCGGTAGTTGGACTCGTGTCTGTGAAGATTGTCGGCGGGCCGATCGTGGTTTCCCAGCTCCAGATTTGACGGTTTTACCCAGAGTGAACCTACGCTAAGTGGAGACGTGTTGCCGGCGTTGGCAGGAGGGTGTGGGGTGGGTTTAGAAGGAGGCATGAGCGCTTTGCGGACTTCGCGGACATACTGGGCAGGTACATAAAAAGCTTTAGTCCCCTCCTCTTTTCTCACCTGCCACCAGTCCTCGTTGGTTTTCTTTACCAGCATGTAGCATTCCCCCTGCCGGATGGTAATGAGGCGGTCCTTGGACTTGTACTCGTAGTCGTACTCCACCTCGATGTAGATCTCCCCCGGGGCAATAGGCAGTTCTGCCATGATGCCTCTGACTGTCCACCAGGCAGTTCACCACAGGAGGAAGATATCTATGACCATGGCTTCATGAGCAAAGCTGGGGGAGAGAACAAACAGGGATTAAAGTCAACATAAATTCATTTCATAGACATGAATGAACATTTCACAGCATGTCAGCAGCCTTGCTTATATACTGTGTACATGAAACCTGTAGATGCAGGTTTAGACAACAGATAGTCAGCAGCATGATCAATTTATTTTTAGAAATTCAGCATTTTATAATTTAGAAAACAGAATAGCAGCAAGAACCTTAAAACACAAATATTTTCCACACTTGTCCAGATATGGAAATTCATTAAACCCAGTTCTATACGTTTCTTTACAGCATATGATGGTTAAAAAAAACAGCGACAAATCCAAGATGATAGAATGAACTGACTGATTTGGCAGATATAAAAAAAACCCTCACCTCTACTCACTCATCCCCAGCCTTCAAACAGCTATTGAAATACACCCAGACATACATCCAGAATTTAAGTGAGAGAAAAATAAGTACATTCTTCAGACACTGGTTGAAAAAATGAGGAAGGGTGGGTGGGTGGTGGAAGGGAGCATGTAGTTGTCATCAGGGTGGATAACCTTTATTCAGATACTCAATAAAGGGCTTCCAGGTCTTGTCAAAGGATTTACTGGAGTCTGGAAGTGGAAATCTAATCTTTTCAAGTTTGATGGGACTTAGGATCTTAAGCCAACTATTGCGTGAGGGAAGACGAGCGTGCTTCCACTAAAAATGAGGCAACTACCTGATGGAGTTGTAAAGACTCTATTCGGCATTGTGCTACTTTCTGTTGTCAATTTATATTCCACATGCACATAGAATAGTTGTATCTTGGGTGCCATGATTTTCTAGTTTTCTAATATGTTTAGCATTAAAAAATGGGCCTCTGTCGCTGTAATCGGCCTTCTTCTATTATTTTTTTTGTCTGTCTCTTGATTGTATGCTGGGAATACTAAAAACTGATTGACAAACAAAATAAATATCTCTCATTGTTGTGTTGAATTAGTTTCCCCGAACAATAAATGTCCCTTTATTTACATCAGTGCCATACTGAAATGTTATTGTACCAACTTTTGTAAACAATATTATTGGCTTTTCCAACAAAACTATGAAACAGCAACTGGCATAACAATAAAAGTGGTCTTTAGCAAAAGGGATTTGTCAGGTGGTGTATTTTTCATTTAAAATAATGTTTTACTCTGAAATAGGTTCCTTGGGGAAGACAAATGCTTAAGAAAACACCATGACACAAGCAAAGTTATGTATTTATGGGCCTATAACACATATAAAGCTTGTGCACAAAATAATGGTGACTCAAAATCATGTTTTCAGCCATCTGGTGTACATCTACATGCCATATGTCATATTTTAAACATATTTATTGGATGTATTACATTTTTATAATACTTTTTCATGTCTTGCAGTGCAGTTATTTTTACCCACTTGTGTAGAATTCAAACAAAATGATCAATGCCGAAGCCTGTTGTAGACTTAGTAAAGAAAACGATAGCTGGTCCAATAAGTATTTCCCAAGCTGTATATGTAGAATATGGCCTTTCACCTCAGGACATTCAAGCCACATTGACAAAAACGCAAAAACTCACAATAATAAATAAGCTGCCAGTCATGATCTTTGCAAAAAATACAGCAACTACCTAAACTCAAGCATGCAAAATAAAAACCTTGAGCTACAGATAAATCAGAGAAGATTTGTGGCCCTAGTCTGTCTCTTATGCAACATGCACTAAACAAAGACAACAGTGTCTTTCAAAGCCTAATACTCCACTAACCCAATCAAAGCAAACAACTAAGATACAAACCGAGTGAGATTTAATCCTCTTCAGAGACTGAATGTACCATCCAGCTCAGCGCCGCCGAGCAGCACAAAAGATTAGACGGAAGGAAGGAGGACAGTAATGTGAGACACATTGTCCTTTTCCACTTACTTCATTAGTGTTTCTGTTTTACCCCGTCTCTTCTGTCTGCCAACGACAGCCAGTCCAGCAGCAACTGAGGCATGTTGCAGCCGAGATTAGTCGAGTCACACATAGTTTCCTGCTGAAGTCACATGTGTACACACAGACTCTTGCAACATGAGGTGAGGCTGCAGCACACCTTGTCCAACCTCAGCTTTGAAGTGCTTCACTCTAAAAGCAATTTCAAAAATGCTCATAAGTCAACAATGACAGCACGAAGCATGTGATGGAGCCAATCCTTGGTTTACAAGGTTGTCTTATCAGCAGTGAACTTTGAGGGTAAATTTAAGAATAAAGCAAGAGCCATTACACTTAATTGAGTTCCAGTAGAAGTCTGTGAAGATTCTCAGCCCAGAACGTGCCTACCAGGACAGCAGGAAGGGAGGAGGAACAAAAGCATATCAAGACAGCACTCAAACACCTGTGGCTACCCAAGCTGGTCCTTCATCAAATCCTCTACAAAACCCAGTTGACACAGAGAAGAAAAGACCAAGAAACGAAACAACATAGGCATCCCCTTTGTTGCAGAAGTTTCTAAAAAAAACTCAGGAGGATTTTCAACAAACACAACATTCCAGTTCATTTCAAGCCCACCAACACCCTGAGACAGAAGCTGGTCCACCCTAAGGACAAGACACCGAGACACAAACAAAGCAACGGGGTGTACGCCGTCCAGTGCAGCGAGGAATGCCCAGACCTGTACATCAGGGAGACCAAAAAAACGCTCCACAAGCGCATGGCTCAGCACAGAAGTTCCTCAGGACAGGACTCAGCAGTCCATCTGCCTCTTAAGGACAAAGGACACTCTTTTGAAGACAACAATGTGCAGATTTTGGCCAAGGAGGACAGATGGTTTGAGAGAGGGGTGAAAGAAGTCACCTATGTCAAACTGGAAAGACCATCCCTCAACAGAGGTGGAGGTCTGAGGCATCATCTGTTTACAGTTCAGTCCTAAGATCTCTCCCCAGGAAGATGAAACCACATTCACACCCAGCCACAAAAGACCCTAACGAACCCCTTTGTGGCAGGGGGAGCACTAACGACTCACAAAACAAGGGGGAGGAGCAACAACCCCCCGACTGAAACCGAAACTCAGGTGTTAATGGCTCCTTAAGTATGTGGAACTCCCAACTAGTCAGTCAGAAGTGATGAAGCCTCTTGGATGAGAGCTGGAATGTCTTCAAGGAACTCAAGCAGGTCCAGTTGCTATGATTAATCTACCAGAATTCCAGTACAAGCTTTTCCAGTGAGCAAGAGCGCAACATACTGAGATCTTGTCATATATTGCCTCAGGATACAACTGTGCATGTGCTATTTGATTGGAACAGATGGCATCACGCCGGTACCTCTGTTTACAGTTAACAGGGAAAGAGATATTTCAGGCTATAATCAGCACAACAGTTCAAAGATTTACATTTTGTCTCTATCACCCTATTTAACAGGTTTATAATTAGATGTGTACACGAAAGCAGGCCACAGGTTTTCACCCACCGTCTATGGTCTTACTATAATCTGATGTTTAACTTTACTATAACATAAAAAAGCATATTTGTATTATGGCGTTTGACAGCTCTTGTCCAGCTTTCTCTTCGAAAACAGATTTAATCTCAACATTAACAAGGCGACATCAGAAAAGTACATGAACTTGAACTATTCTTCAAAACACATTTGCACACTTTGCACGTGCCTTGCTGCAAAGTTGGAGATACGTTACAAAGCTGATTCCTGAAATTAAGACTGTCGTGTCCTGGAATTCCAGTGATCCAGTGAAATATTTACAATTTCCATTGTAAAATAAGGGAGGAGAGTATGAGTCACATGCCTCAAATTAGACTACAAGAATGAAAACATGCAATTCATCGACCAGGAAAAACTATGTAAATTAATAACTAGATATATTACTTCTCTAATATTGCTAATATCCAGTTATAGACATTTAAACGGAAGATCTTAATTGAATGAGCAACACTGGAAAATGCATTTTCATAAAAATCAAGGTGATAATGTCCAAAATTGTGTCGTGTCTACTATCTATAAGAACTGAGTGCTGGTTCTACATCTCTGAAAGTTCAGAAATGTTTGCCAGACAAAACAAATGATTTGAATATGTCAGCTTGCTAAATTCTTTAGCATATTTGTCACTATTGTTTTTGTCAGGGGAAGGCTGTCTGCCTGAAGCATCCCTGCAATGCACGACTGAACAGCTCAGGTGTAGTGATAACTGAACTCCTTATGTTGAAGGATTCAGTTACCATCTGTACATACTGGTGTTGAGCTTTTCCATCAACTTGACATTTTATATCAAAAAATTCATCAAGAAAATAATCAGCCGCTGAATCAATACAAAAACAATCACTGTGAGTTGCATCTCTGGTGATACTAAAATACTAAATCTCATCTGTATCCTCATCATCAATCTAAAATAAATCATGACAAAACACAACACTCCTGTAAAGGGCGCACTTCTGGTCTTTTAAATTTTAACCCCAGCTGAACAACAACCCAGGCAGCGGTGTAAAAGAAAGCGGTACAGTCTGAACCCCGTGTGATTTGTATGAACTAGCAGGATATTACAGTATGAACAGCTAGTTTATCACAACGACAGACGTGATTCCAAACCCAAAAAGTCATCTGGAAGTAACATTCATTGAGAACTTTTCTTGGAAAACAGAAGTTATGCCGCTGAAGGACAATCGAAATGAGAAATGTGTCTTTTTGTTTTGTGTGGACGACGCACACAGACGCACAGCCGATGATGATTTAGACTTTTTATTCAGAGTTCATTTGAGTGCAGCAGCACCGCTACAGACTGGGCATCAGACCAACCGCACGACAAATAATGGTAGCTGTAAAGACGATGTAGTGGTTGCAGCTGTTCTATATTCTATATTTTACAACTGCGTGTCCAGAGAGCCCCTAATTAGCAACAATTACACGACGTCCCACACACATTGAGCAACGTGAGCTACACCCTTTTATAGGCCTCTGATTAATCATGACGCGCTGTCACCATAAAAGCTACAGCGGAACAGTGAGTGTGGATTCGGTAGCTGTTACCTAATA